CTGGTGCGACACGAACATTGCCTTTCCCATGCTCTCATCAAACTCTGAAAGCACACCGGCGTCTGCCAGCTCCTCGTGCATCTTGACTTCTGTCATCTGCAAGAAAGCATCGGCAGGTACGGTGTACATCACAAAGGTGTGGTTGCCTAAGCTTGAGACACGCCTTTTAGTGGTTGAAGCCCTTCTATGCCCGATAGACCTACTGGGCGCAGGTGTTTCCAATACAGTCACTAGTCACGAGGCTCCTTAACACAGCATCTTCCACAACCCTGAGCACTAAGTCGGACAAGTCGCCTGAAATACTGTCTCCATTCTTGTGCAGCGCCGAAGCAAACTGCGCAAGAGACTCGCTGTGCATGGCAATTGAAAAAACACCCTAGTGGCTACTCCGGAAAGGTTGAAACACTCGGCAGCGGGTCATAGGCTAAACTGGCCGAGCAATCTCACAACAAGGGAAGCGATTCCGGGGTGCTGTGCAAAACCCAGAGAAAACAATGTGGAGCAATCGCATTCTGTTCTCCAGGACGAGACGAGCATTGTCTTCATGGCGCAGAGAGCCCCCTCGACGGTGCGAACCTCAAAAGGCAAAACAAGCCCTAAACCCTCAACCGGCCGCCTTTCACCGTGGGCGCTTGGGCCACCAAGGACGGGTCGGCGGCCTCCAAGAAGCCCTTGACCTCATTGGGCGAAATTTTAGGGCATGTGGGTTTAGGGTTTAGGGTTTAGGGCGAAATTTCGGGCTTGTGGGTTTATAGAGTTTAGACCGTGGGGTTTAGGGTTTAGTTCTTGAGGATTTAGGACAGGATTTAGGTGACTTTTTATTGAAGCCTGCATAATACTGACAAAAAGAGTGTTTTGGCAATTGAGGTGTCCATGCTACACTCCAGACCCCTTAGAAGAGAATGCCCTATTTCTTGCACGCTTGAAAGCACAATGTGTTGGTCTGGTGGGAGTGCAACCGTAACCCCTACACCCTAAACCCTCCTAAAATCCGGAAAAGGTAACCCTAAACCCTAAACCCTGAACCCCTCGGCATGTGGTTCGAGTCCCATCCCAGGAATGTTCAACATCTCATCGGGGCCCAAGCGGTCGGTAGGCCAACCGATGTGTTTCAGGACAGCTACTCGGGCAGGGTCGTCTAAAGGATCATTTGCCTTTTGCTGAGCTGCCCTACAGAAGGAACCTCGGACGCTTCGTTTAGGGTTTAGGGTTTAGGGTTTAGGGTATGTGGAATTGCCTTGCTTGGCTGCGTTCGCGGTCGTAACCCTGTGCTACAACTGATATAGGGGCCTTAATTATTAGAAGAAGGTTTTGGGGCCCATTATACGATACTTATAATAAGGACCCCCCCAAATAGTAGAGGTAATTATTTAGACCCCCTACATTAGATACCAGAGACAGAGGCAAGACTCAGACGTATCAACAGAAATGGCGGAACCCCAGTATCAACTTGCGTGCAACTTGTGACCTAGGGTTTTCGAGCTTGGGGCTGAGAGGGGATTAAAACCCAAAAGTGTCACCACGTGGGGTCAGTACCGACTGAGGCAGGCACATCATCTGCTCCAGTTCCCCTGACACGGAACGGCGGGGTCGGTTTCATGTAGGGGGCCTTCATCGTGAGAATAGGGATTCGTGTATCAGATACCCTCTAGCGATAGTCCATCAAGCACACCCTGAACTCCCACATGAGCCTACTTGAATTGAAGAGCTTGAAACCGCCACTCTGAAAGCCCACCGTCCATACCATAAGGGGCCTAAATAGTTGCCAATATTATTTTGGGGGAGCCTCATTATAAATATAATACAAGGGGCCCCAAAACCCTGTTCTAAGTATTACCTGTAGTCTCCATTGTAGTTCCTTTTTGGGGATACCTTATAAAATCCTTAATATATAACTGGTTGAACCAAAAAACGGAACTACAATGGAGACTATAGGTAAGGCCTCTATATTACTGCCGGCCGGCCTTATCGTGCACTTCACGGTGTAGTACGGATCTGCAGACAGTTCTGCCTCGCGAGGCGCGCTTCTTCAGGGATTTCAGGGAGTTGGGCCCAATAAGGATATACTTGGATGTGTTAGGGTTTAGGGTTTAGGGTTCAGGGTTTAGTGTTACTGTTAGAAATCTGCTACCCTACAAGAAAGGGGCATGAAGGAAGCTGCATGGCTTTGTCATCATTCCTTTCTGACGGGGCCATTGGCACTGAACCACATGGCTGCAGACGTGAAGTTCTGTTGCTTCTTGTCCGGGTGGCCCGGGTACTTCGGGAAACTGAAGGGTTAAGCTTTGTAGTACCTCAAGAAGCTTAGGGTTTGCTTGCCCTAAACCCTAAACCCTAAACTTAGTGTTTTGCCTTGATTGATTGGCTGGCTGACCGTATTGGACTCTAAGAAACCCGGGTCTTTGCGTAGTCTTCCGGTCTAGAACTCAGTGTGTCATGTCACAAGCTCATGCCCTAAACTCCTAAACCCTAAACCCTGAACCCTAAACCCAAAACCCCAAACCCCTAAACCCCTAAACCCTAAACCACAAACCCCTAAACCCCTAAACCCCTAAACCCCTAAACCCTAAACCCCTA